GGGTAAAAGCTGGGTCGGAGGCGAGGTCGGTGAGCTGCCATTCGCCGGCCTGGGCTCAGATTCGACTCGAGAAGTCGAGCAGCTGGTAAGGGTCGTCGGCTGCGGTTGCGTGGGCGAGGGGCGGAGATGATGAGATCCGATTAAAGGCTGCTGGTCAGGGTATCTTACAACCGGGATAAGCCAAAGGGTGAGGGAGGCTTCGGTTGGGGATTTCTCACGACCAGAGAGAGGAAGCTCCGGGCTCTCCGTGTCTCGGGAGAAAAAAATGGGGCGAGCTTCAGCCTTCTTGTCCTTGAGAAGCGTGAGTCTGCTGCTCCATACTTGAGAGGAGGGAGCTGCTCTAGAGCCCTTTTTTTATTCTTGAAAGTTGAGCCGGAACGTTTGCTCCTTTTTTATGAAAAAGGAAATCACTAGTTGCCATATCTTTTTTTTTTGGGTGAAATGAGGGCTTAGCCCATTCTATTAAAAAAAAAATCAAGATGATTACAAAGATAAATTCAAAGAAAAAGGTTGCCAAAACCAAAAGAGGGCAACCAGCAAAATTGAATTTATAATCAACTATAAACCCCAAAAAGAAGAACCAAAAAAACAGACAGAAATTCTGTCTGGCCTGGACTCAAAAATAGATATTCCAATCATGAGGCGGTCTGTCTCCTTTGGTTGCCCGTAGACCGTCCAAAAGGAGTGGCAGGGTTCATCATCGTCCAAGACCCAAAAAAACCTGCCCAAACAAAAAACTCGAATCCGACGAAGCAGCGAGAGCAACAGAATTTGGGCAGCAAGGTTATGCCACCAGCAAATCCATTGTAAAATATGACCTGCCAAAAAAATACCGTCCAGCGCCACAGCAGAAAGAGAAGATTTCCATTAAATTCCCAGCACTTCATCAAAAACCAACTGTTCATCCGGAAAGAACAAATGTCTGCACAGAAAACCTTCGAATATCCCTTCCAGCAAAAATAGGAATTGCCCCAAAACAAGCAGCCAACCTCCAAGCTCGAGCAGCAAACTTCCAAGCTCAAGCAGTGAATACCCAACCTCCCATTTACAGAATTGTCATTGAAAAGGAAATGCCCCAGCAGAAGGCCAATTAATGGTAGGAGACCATTAGTTTTTCTTTTATCAAATTTCCACATTTCCAGCTATCTAATTTCAGGTAAACAGTTCTGAAAATTCTCTTAGCAAGTGTAACGGCACAAGCCATCCTCCCATTATGTTTCCTAGAGTTTCGTTCAGCCCACAAGGAGTATACAGCATTATTTAAAATCAGCAACAGACCATTCTTAACCTCCCTAGTAAAATTCAACCCAGTAATAAACTGAAAGGCTTGAGCTAAGTTTGGTCTAAAGAGAAAGCTAGAGAATTGAGGAATAAGCCTACAAATAACTTGGAAAGAATAATCACATTCAAATAATAGATGTGGCGTTGATTCTGGATGAGTTTGACAAAAGGAGCAAGCAGTATTCCCCACATCAATATTTCTCGCAGTCAAGGCAACCGAAGTCTTAAGACCATTAGATAGAGCCATCCAGGAGTAAACTGAATGTCTAAGAGAATGCTTTTTGTGCCACACCAGATTTGCCCAGTCAACATCGTTCTCATAGGAAAAATATTCTTTATAAAAGTCTTTGAATGAAGCATTTTCATTGTTTTCCCAGGATAAATGTTTGCTAGTTCCAGTGGATATAGGGACCGAACTAAAGAACTCCAGAATTTGGGAATTAATAGAGGTCGGAAGAGACCAAGAGGATCCAACCATCCAATTAGCAAGACAAGCATTATCCTGAATGATAGAACCGAAATCAAAGTCAGGAAAAGAATCCAGGATAGAGCAGTTGGAACACCAAGGATCCCAAAGGATATTAATGGAACTTTTAGCCAGGACATTAAATGTGAAATTGCTTTTAAACAATATAGCAGAGTTGTGCAGACTTTTCCAAAAAGCTGTGCTGTGTCTAGGAGGAGGCTTCCAAGGCGAAGAGTATCTAATTTTGATCCATCTAGAAAGTTGAGAGTCTACATTATAAATCCTGAGAATTGTATCACAATTGTAAGCAGATCTGAGAGCATGTAAGGAGGCAATGCCAAGGCCTCCTTTAGAGAGAGGCATAGTAGTATTTTTCCATGATATGAGATGCAGGCGCTTAGAATGGTCAGGTATGGTCTCGCACTGTGAAAAAGAGGAATTTGAAAACAAGCCTTGCAATTGCCTATGCAGAGGTAACTTACGATAATCGGTATATTGAATTACGCGCGACATCGAGAGAGAGAGAGTAGCACTATCAGTATAGGCGCGCCCGCACGATTATTTCAAGAGATGCGTTATATTATTATGCTAACACTCGATATGTTATCGATACACACGCGACGCATCTCGAGCGGA